TACACTGTCCAATTACAAGCATGATGTGTACACTGTCATATTAGTGCTCAAATCAGGCTGGTGATAGCCAATCACATTTGAGAATTTTGTCATAGTTTTGATTAATTGTAAACTCAAAATGGCATGGTGCTTCATATTGTTTTGTCATTTTGTAATTGAGAGACTCATCATGACCATGTGGTTTGCAAAAGCAGGGTCCTAATTGATGTATCCTGGCTGGCTGGAGAATAGTTTTGTTGTTGCCCATGAAACTAGAATAAGGGCTGCATTAGTAATAAGCTACTGTGTCCTGTAATTCTTGACCATGCAATATCTCTATGTTCTGTTCTCTGCAAGGGACAGGCAGTGTCTTACCAGGTAATGGTTTTTACTCTGGATGCTGGACTGCAGGTCGAGAGGTCTGGGATCAAGACCTGGCTGGGTCAATGTGTTATTTTCTTGGGCAAAACACCTTACTTTCACAATGCCTCTCTCCACTCAGGAGTATAAATGGGTACAGGAAAATTGTCAGGGTAACCTGCTGAAATTCTGGGCAGTAACCTCGTTATGAACTAACATCCTACCCAGGGGGGAATAGTGACACTCCTATTCACTTTTTCTCTAAGGGAGCTGTTATATTTGATTATTTGATGCCAAAAACAGAGTAAAATGAAAAGTGCTCTCCAGGTCATATGTGCAGTGGGGGGTTGGGGGAAGGGGGAAGGGGAGAAGGTTGTTTGAAAAGTTTTGTGAAACTCATTTATTCTCACATGTAGCGGGAAATCATAGTCATTTAAATTCTTTCTTATGTTTCACTGTTTATGTCTTCCCTCTGATGCATAGATTTGATAAGCATAAGGGATTCTACTGTCAAGTCACATCACAAGGTGGTACTCATTGCCTTGGAAAAGGAAAAGGCAGACATTATGTACCCATGGATGAGAAGTCACAGCGTTTCTTGGAAGATTATTACTCAAAACCAAACAAAATTCTCGCAGATTTGTTACAGAAGTTGGAGAGACCTCTTCCCAACTGGCTGCGACCTGCTAGATAATAAATTAATCATATACTTAGGATGAAAATTTTAATAATTTGTGTGAAAGTTAAAATGTTATTGTGAGAAACATTTTAATGTTTTCAGGCATAGTCTTCAGGCAAAAAGAAAAGTGTTTGTTAACTTTTGGTTTGTTCATGTGAAGTAAGTTTAAAAACTGCTCAATCAACCCTGAAAAGTACTTAGTATGTTGACATTCAAAATGTTTCCTTGCATTCACATTTTTATTTTCACTTAAATTTATATTCAAATAAGAGGACTAAGATATTATAGACATATATTCTAATAATTATTGTATAGGGTTTTCAGACCAAGGAACTAAATATATAACCTTCATTAAAGCTTTACCATATAGAGTTCATAACAATTTTATATTATTTATGTGGTGTGTGGATTGTGAACATCTATAGATATGATACTATAATTTAAGAAATTAGAGGTCCTCTTTTGCTGTCTCTGTTGAAAGAGATGACTTTTCAATTTGACTAAACACAAACTGGATGTACTCGAAATAAAATCAAGGCATAGTTATACAAGTCTTAATATGGTTGTTATTCTAATTACGTGTTAAAATTTCATATACAAGTGAAAGTTGTGAGTTGAAAGGCATGTGAAATGCATTTGAAAAGCATTTGAAAGATGCTAAGCCTTCCATAGACTGTTTTCACTTGCCTTCTAACTAACTTCTGAATCTTCCATGTCAAAATCTAGGACTGTCTCAGCCACTTTAGAGCTTTGACTGCAATTTCTGATGGCATGAATGAAATCAACCCTGAATTTTTTATTTACTCAGATCTCTTAAAGTGGGTTTGATTTAAAATATAATTGCCTGTTATCATTGAAATACATTTATGTATTCTTCTACCGCAAAAAAGACAATCTACAAAATGAATTTACTGGAATTCAGATTTCAGAGTATATCATTTATTTTTTTTTCTCCTAGTGTATTAATTTTTCATTTACCAGTGCTATGACTTCATACATACAGTTTCATAGGAATTTTACACAATCTTAGGATTGAAGAAAGGGTTATAAAGTGTACCACCAGATACAATTATTTTTGTAATATTTAATATTTCAAATGTATCAAAAGCTTCTAACTGAACAGGAAAATCAATGGCTAGGTGTAGGTTAGGAGTATACTGGCTAATTAGGATTTAAGTCCCCTTGGGGTGTTGTGCCAAGGTTGAGTGTTGCATGGCACCCCAAAGATTTGATGCAAAGGAGGTTAATTGTCCATTCTTAAAGCACAGTGTGAGAAGATCAGTGGAAGAAATAGGAATTGCTGTAGAAAATTTTTGCAAGTGGGGCTGTTCATCTGAAAGGGGCAACACCCATATCAACTGCTAGGTTTTTCGGTTTGCCTTGTCTTTTTTTTCCACATTCACTGACTTGTGGATGTTATCCTGAAGGTTGCAATGATAGTAGAAACATCATTTGGCATTTCACCTTGCCCCAGTTGTTTGAAGGTTGATAAGTGCTATTCTCTGGATAAAACTCTTATACAGTTGATAATACTATAAGTTTTACTATCACTTATCTGCTGGAAAGCGTTTTCTTCCCTTTATACAACTGGGCCCAGGTGAACCAAATTAGGACCAAAATTCATAGTGTACAAACCTAAGAAAGATCATCTCCTTTCCTGGCACTTTAAAATGCTGTTTCCCCTTACAACCCTAACTAGCTAATTGTTATCTGCTAAATGTCAGTTTTTTGATTGCTATCACAACCTGTTATCTTAAGGAAGCTAGCCTTGTTGTCAGAGGTTTCTCCATTTTCCCTTTAATCAAAAACCTCAGTGGGTAACAATTTTATAAAAATTTTTAGTGTAAACTTTAGCTGTAGAGTGGAGGGTGTAATATATTTTGATAAGGCATGGCTTTTGTATAGATAGAGTAAAGTTAGGGCTCAAGGTTTAAAAAGTACAGTGGACACTTGGCAAAGGGAACTATGAAATAAAAGAAAAATTTAAATTATTAAACCTTTCAGTTACTACATCTGCTATTGCTGGTCAATGTAGTGGACCTTGCTCTACTGCATGATTGGCATAAATTTAAGCATTGTTTAGTGTAAGTTATGGGTCCTTTTTGAGTGTCAATTAGGGTGCAGCCTTTTTCTTGGGGCATGGATTAATGGGGGAAGGACTGACAGGATGAATCAAACAGAAGCAGGAAGTATGAGGTAGGTAACAAGAAGTGGCCACCCCTCAGTCATACCATAACAGGCTTCCCCCTCCCTTTAAAAAAAACCCTTAGAACCACCTTTCTTTGTGAGTACCGAAACTCGATTCGTTCTCTGCAGTTGCTTCCTCGTTATTCAACTTTCTTTGTACTTCTGTCAATAATATGAACCACTTTCCCTAATCCATCAGGATAGGGGAATGTGAAGACTGCTAGGGTTACCTATCATTAACCCTTTAACTCCCATGAGTGACCAAGACAGAATTTCTCCTTACTATATCTACACATTATCATGCAGACAAGTGATGAGAATAAAGAAAAATATCAATCATGGGGGTACTAATTGATTCAATACCAGTTCTCCAAACTAACATAATGAGAATCATTTGGTGGAAAGTAAGGAGAATTACTAGTGAGATCTTGGGAGTTAAAGGGTTAACAACAAGATTAACTACAGCAGTTCCTCCTTTTTGGGGAGGTCCCTTGTACAAGTCAAAGAATTACCAGTGTAAAGGAGACTGACGTTAGGACTAACAAAATTTTCTCTACTGGAAAACGAACTCTGTGGAAAATGAAGGACTGCTTGTAGTTTAAGCCAACAGAATTCGTATTTTCTAGTTCATACAGGAAAACCAAGCAATTGGGTTCTTTATATACCAGTATTTATTACTGCTTTGTAGTCCAACAAAAATTTTTAAAATATTTTCAGTTCTAGTCTGTATTCATTGTAATTTTAAATTTTTTGTCACTGATGAAAAATTACAAAAATATCATAGAAACAAAATTAAATGCTAAATACAATATTTCAAACAACTGCAGTTCCAAAGGATTGCCTATGCTGCTCGATTATAGTAATGATGAATAATAAATATGGCCAGTAACTGATCCATTGTCCTTTAACCACGATTCCACACCATGGTAAATATTTCCAAATCTTTTGTGCTGCAATATTTGTGAATGAATCTTGGCTTCCTGTTTCACTTGGCTGCAGTATGTCTCATCAAAACACTATTCAGCTTTTCTAGTTTCTTTATATCCTGTTGTTGCTCTGTTCTGTATTTCAAGCACTGCAAGATGATGATAATTAACAGAGGAATGACACTTTCTGATAATCATTACGTTCCAGTTTTCCCCGAATTTTCAAAAGAAGGAATGTCTGAAATAAACTCCATTGTAGCAGTGTCTATTTCTGGCCAAAAACAAACAATAACTCTGAACCCCTTTTCCCCAAATATTTCCATTCAAATGTTAAATGCAAAAAAAAACTTTCAAGTTGTCGTAATTGTTAATTTATTTAGTATAACTTCAACTTTACCACTTGGTCATCTGTTCCCTTAAGAACAAGCTTCCCATCACAATGGCGATACTTGACGACGAACCGAAACTGAAATAAAAAGAAGAACATGAGAAATATAACTTTCTCTTTTACACGTCATCTGTTCCCTTAATTCACGTGTATTTTTCGAGTGTAAAATGAGTCTAACTATTACCAACCTTTTTCGGCTCAGCTACACACAACTGTTCAACTGCTGCTGCAAATTCATCCCACGAGTCGAAATAGACCATCTTTCACTCTACTTCTTACAAAGTCCGACTAAAACCGAAATTTTACGTGAAAGACGCCATGTTCTAAAATTTCCTTTATACTCGGAAGAAAACGTTGTATATGACTAAATACAATGTCCTTACCAAAAGTTATTTGAACTGCAATATATTTGTACAGAGGTGTGTTTAGCCAAAATAATATGTTGTGTAATTATCATATAGTGCTTTAGCTGGAAGAAGGAGCATATAAGACATTCGAAACACCAAAATCTCAGAGACTCCACATAAGCTTTTACATTGTATCAAAAACTTCTATTTGATTTCACATGCTTTTTTAATTTTTTGTTACATTTGGTGTAAATTTAGGCAACAAAGCGAAAGAAGGTTTGCACGGCTTTGTGGGTAACCATTAGTCACCAGCAGTCATGTGCCACGCATATGACGGAAATTTCGCTACAACAACAGCTGAGATCGTCGACAATGACCACAATATATAAATAGAAACTCCGGAATTCAAAATGGCTAGCTGTATGAGAGGATGCTGGGGTATATTCAGCGAAGAATTAAGGAAATTACGCCGGCCGGCACATCTTCGAGGAAGGTAAATTGTGATATAGCCTTGTTGAAATTGCAGTTGTTGTATTTTTGTAGCCGGTAGTTCAAGTTGTGTCATCGTTAATTCACAGGACTTACAGACGTGCAAGATATAGTGAAAAGGAATTGAGTATCGAGGTAAGATCCCTTGTTAGTTACGAGTTAAGACTGGATGTCCAAACATAATATAATCTTGCACAAATTTACGGTTGTATTGAGCAGGACTTTCAAGCTGACTTGATTGACTCAGCTCTTTTGTATCGACTTGTGAGAAAATGCAAGTAATTAACGCAGTAGATAGTTGCCTTCATGAGTCAAAATTTTCCAGGGTTAGAAGGGTCAAGTGTGGTGAGGGGGGGGCAGGGGAGAGCACTGCTTTTACAGCCAAAAAATAAAAAAAAGAAAAGTCGCTAGGTTTCGAAATCTACTAGAAAAACCTTTGCAACATGTTATCACCCTCCCCTTCCCAGAGCAATGCCCCATGATAAGTTAGCAAAACTGAGGGGGGGTGGGGGAGAGTGATTTTTATAATCCTATCCCCTATCCCTTCTTTTAAAACATCACTCATTAATAACATAGAAATTTCCACAATTTTTCTTTACTCTCCTACTTTCTGTAGTCTTCCAACTTCCTGTTTTCACCTCTCACCTCTTGTGACTCTCCCATCTAACCACTCCCCCCCCC